TTGGTAATTAATAACGATTCATTAATAAGAAGTATTTCCCGAAAGGGGAAAAAATTCCCCCCCCCCGCGCTCCCCACAAAAATCCCACTAACCCAATCCAACTATCTACACTAAACGAGCAAGAAATTTAGCATATTCTACAAAAAAAATTCACAAAAATGGTGTACCTGGACACGAGGATTTAAGCTGACAGTGACTGGGGCTTTTGGAGTGACCACATGGAGACGCATCAACTGTGCGCTAACATGAGGCATTCGTCGACAAGTACATTTCAACCACAAAGGTAGATCTGAACGAATAAGTGTTGCACCAAAATCCTGAAAAAAAGTGGAATTTCTTGGAGTTCTTGAAAAAATGGAATTTTTTGATGCAAAATTTTGCTAATTTTAAGTTTATTGAAAAAAAATTCCTCAAATCTGCAAAAATAACTAGTTTTTCGCAGAAATTACGAAAAAAATCAAAAATATGGTCGCTTTTGTTGCAACATTTCAATTGTTTCAATTAAATTACCTTCGAATGAACGGAAGTGCTTCCATGCAACGATGTGCGAACATCCTGTACCATAGAACGATGTCCACGAGGACATTCGTACTCAAAACCGACGAAAAGCTGAAAAACAATGACATCGGTACGCAAATGAGGTACAAAAGTTTCGCCGTTGCAATTTGCTAATGCCTTGGAAAAGGAAAATTTTCTCCTTAAATAACAATTTCTGTAAAAAAATGGGATTAAGACTCGAAAATATACGGAGAATTGTCTTGAACCCCTTGAAATATTATTCCCCCTCCCCCCGCCCCCAAAGGGGCTCTGTTTAAATACTTTTCCGAAGAATCAGGCAAAATTTTATTTGCTTTGATAATTTCAATCATTTGCTATTTAGTCACAGCGTACCACTTGTTTAATCGATGCCCAGCAACTTCTCAACTGCCGTAGCCATAGGCGGATCCAGAACGGACTGCTTGAAGGAGCGAAGGGGGAGGGGACGACAGGGCGGGGAACAATCCCCTCTCACCTTGGAACTGTGCCAAAATTAGGAACAGAGTTGTAACACTGCTACTTAGAGTTACTTTAGTTTTATTTATGAACAGACCCGGGCTTTTGCAGTACCGATGCTTGTGCTATTGGGAGAGAGGGGAAAGGCAAGGGGCGGAAGACCTATAGCTGTAGCAAAGGCTACATCACCGAATAGTCAACTTATTAGTAATCTAGATGCTCGTCTTCCTAATTTTTTTTTCATTATTTCTTACTGATATATGCTCAAAATACCACAATCATTCGGCTGTTTCTTTCAACTTATCTACTGGTGCCCCCCTCCCCCCCCTGATCCATTTTATAAAAGCCATCATTTTTATGAAGAAATATGCAGTGAGTCTTGAACGCAGGGAAATTATGCAAAAAGGCAAGCAGCCAGAAGCAAAAATGCTGTTTTAGTACCTTTACTTTTTCGGTGTCTTTGGCCGAACGTTTGCGGGCACAATATGAGTCGCCCATAACTTCCTTCATATCGATTTCCCATTTTTCCGGGTCAACGGTTAGATAAACATCAACGGGAAGCAAAAAGTTCGTTCCACTTTTGAAGCCAGGCATATCCCGAAGACCTGCTCGATGGCTGAAAAGTAACCAAGCTTGAACAGAAAGCAGTATTAAGTGGTGGAAAAAGAGGCTTTAAGAAAATAGACAAAAAATTCAAAACAAAGACAAACAGATGCAGTTTAGGAACCTGTAAATGCTTGACGAACCGAGGCAAAGAAGTGACCAGGATGGGAAGAGCGGTTTCCGTGATGGAGATTCTGTATTTGGCACACAATCCAAAAATTGTCCTAAGAAAAATCGATGATTAGTTTGTCATATTGTTATTTAATTAAAATTTAGAGAAAAACAAGAAAGCATGCTGTGGAAGCATTATTTTACTTGATTCTGAAACTAAAATTTCGGAATCTTAACTATTCTGAAATAGGTATTTTCAAATGAAAAACAACGGTAAAAGTTATTTTCGCAATACTAGTTTCCAAATACTGTGTCCTAGATCTGAAAGCCAAAAACACCCAGAAATAAATTTAGAACAAACACACAATTAACAGTACAATTCTTTTTTTTTTTGGCTTAATGGAGAAAATCAAACTTACGCAATCTCACACTTTTTGAAAGCAAAAAGAATTAATATCTAAGTATTTTGTATTGTGTAGCAACTGCACAAAACGCATACTGCCGCGCTTCTGTAAAAGTGTGTATGTGTTTACGAGTGTATGCGTGTGTGTATGTATGTATGTATGTATGTATGTATGTATGTATGTATGTATGTATGTGTGTATGTATGTGTGTGTCTGTGTGTGTGCTTCTATGTGTGTATGTATGTATGTGTGCCTCTATGTATGTGTGAGATGTGTGCCAAAATGCATTTTGCCCCAAGTTTTAAACTCCGGAACCTCAAAATCTAGGAAGCTGAAATATAGGGGGATATTCCCTGTCCATATGAGATCACGCAAATTCAAATTCAGCTTCCACGTATGCTTAGACACAAAATATTAATTTAGCCTTTGCATGCATTGGTCTCATGTATGGATAAGTGGGAGCCTAGCCGCAAAATCTTCTGCCCCATAGATCAAAGCACGTTGAGAACCTAGAAATTTGATATGATGCTCCCTGTAAACGCACAATCCTGGAACTTCAAGATTAGCTTTCACGAAGGCTTATTCTCTGGTACAGGGCGTGAAATTTTGCATAAGAAATTTTTAGTTCAAGAACTAGACAAAACAGAAAGCTAAAATTGCCGAAGAATGTTTTCTGTCCATATGCGGATTTACAAATTTCGACTTAGCTTTCACGAGCGCTAAGAGTTTCATGCACGGGCATGTGAGATTTCGTATTTTTGCACATATCAAACCGTAAAGCAGTGAACAGTCCTGACGGCAATTGCTCGCAAGGTAGAACTGCGCAAAACGCATGATCGCACCAGCTATTCTGGTGCAATGCCGCTGCTTATTTCTAAAAGATAATGCTCGAGTGCCAATTTGTTGTGCATTACCTCTGCACAGTTTCTTCAGTTGGGCCAGTTCTTCCTCAAAGCTTATGG